CGTGCTTATGGGAACACTGTGAACGTTCCCATGGATGTTGCCCTCATTTATCACTGTCGGGTGCCTCTTCAAGGAAACCTTCCCAGAGAATCCCTCATCAGGGATACAACGCTGTGGAGATACAATTCATCATTAATTGTGAATGTTAACAAGGTGCTGCATCAAACCGTACTGTAAGCTCACAAGCGAAACCTCGGTTGTAAGGAGGGAAGGTGGAGAGCCACCTGTATCGTGGGGAGGCAGAGGTGTATAATTTAAAATCACTCCCACATGAAGCTTACATCTTGGAGAGATTTAGAACAGCCCTTTTATGTACTCTACAAAGATCAATGCATTTGGTTTGTGAACAAAATCAAGGTATCCAGGGAAGAAATTTTCAAAACTGGAATAATCAGTTGATCCAAGAAGGGTGGTTGAGGCCTTAGTCCACTGTTTTTTAGAGGTGTTTTACATGGTTGAGAAGAGCCTGATGACATTGATGTTCCCTGTCTTTGCAGGAAATTGGTGTGACATGCCTCTTACAGGGATTGATCCCTCTTGAGATATATTATACATCTTTGGCCCTGAAAGTTAACCCTGTTAGGGATGCTATAATTTTAAGTGCAGCAGTGAAATTTAAAGGTGTTGCAACAGGTATTTTATGCTATGTTTTCGCCAACAACAAATGCACCGTGTATTTAAAATCACCTATTAATCACAGGAACAATGTTTACATTTCTACGAGTTCTATGCTGGGATTTTCTGCTGGCAGAGAAGACCGTCAATTACAAACCTTTGTTCCTGTGATTAATAGGTGATTTTAAATACACGGTGCATTTGTTGTTGGCGAAAACATAGCATAAAATACCTGTTGCAACACCTTTAAATTTCACTGCTGCACTTAAAATTATAGCATCCCTAACAGGGTTAACTTTCAGGGCCAAAGATGTATAATATATCTCAAGAGGGATCAATCCCTGTAAGAGGCATGTCACACCAATTTCCTGCAAAGACAGGGAACATCAATGTCATCAGGCTCTTCTCAACCATGTAAAACACCTCTAAAAAACAGTGGACTAAGGCCTCAACCACCCTTCTTGGATCAACTGATTATTCCAGTTTTGAAAATTTCTTCCCTGGATACCTTGATTTTGTTCACAAACCAAATGCATTGATCTTTGTAGAGTACATAAAAGGGCTGTTCTAAATCTCTCCAAGATGTAAGCTTCATGTGGGAGTGATTTTAAATTATACACCTCTGCCTCCCCACGATACAGGTGGCTCTCCACCTTCCCTCCTTACAACCGAGGTTTCGCTTGTGAGCTTACAGTACGGTTTGATGCAGCACCTTGTTAACATTCACAATTAATGATGAATTGTATCTCCACAGCGTTGTATCCCTGATGAGGGATTCTCTGGGAAGGTTTCCTTGAAGAGGCACCCGACAGTGATAAATGAGGGCAACATCCATGGGAACGTTCACAGTGTTCCCATAAGCACGCAGGACGGAGTGGACTGAAGTCTGAATCACCTTTCGTGGATCAATTATCATTTTCCTGGGATTGAAAACATCTTTCCTGTCTGGCTCTCTGTGTACATGCTGTAGTATGTTAACACCCGGCACAGTGTTCCAGGATGAAATGTTGAACATGTGAGTAGATATGGTTTCTGGGAAGATATGGTTCTCAAAGAGAAAAATGCCAGTCCCTGGGTTTTGCTCCTGAAGACTGCTCATCATTGTTATCCAGTCTGGGTGCTTAAGGGGAAGAATTATTTCATCAGCATCATTGAGAACCACAAACTTGCTCCTCTGCATGTTACGATATATACAGTCATTCAGAGCTGTGATTTGTCCATAGTAGCCAATGTCTTTTGCATCCATAGTAAAGTGCCACTTAGAAGAAACCTTGAGGTGTGAGTTTATTGGCCAGGGAATTACCTCTACAGTTCCTTCTTCCATATAAAACTTCAAGACTTTCTCCATCAGCTGGCTGCAGTTGTTCTTGTAGATCACCACTTTCTGTACCCCAAGAATCTTGTACATTTCTATACTCTGTATAAACTGCAGGACGTTGTTGTAATTTCCGAACATGGTAGAGATGCATACGGTGAAGTCAACAGAAAAGGTCTCAGCCTTGCGGTTTTTAATTTCAAACCTTGGCAGTTGGTCAATATTTCCATGTGGAGACTGATGAATTGATACATGTGTTGGATCACAGTTTTCGGGTTCCAGACAAACTATATCTGCTGCACCGTAAGGGAATCCAAATCTATCTGAGTGAACATCAATTTTTGCTTTTGATACATATATCTTTCCATTGGGCTGACAGCAGAACCAGCAGTATAGTTCTTTTACATCTTCGTGGTGAACAATCGCAATCACACGAGTGGTTTTACTTTCTCTGTCATCAAAGTATGGGGCTATAATAAAAGTTCTGTTGTCTTTTAATGGTGTTATTACATTTTGAGCAGGTTTTCCTCTACAAAGCTGATCTGCTGGACTGGCAGTTGTTGTCTGGCGGAAGATTTTTCTAGTTACGTTATTCTGTAGCTGAGGATCTTTCCAGGAGCAGATTAAAACACTTGCAAAAATAAGAATACATGCAACAACAGCAGAAATATTTTTTTTTCCACAGTGTATCATTTCTGAATCTCACAGTTTGGAACTCAACAGACCTTTACACTCAGTCTTCTGTTCACTTTCTCTAAAATAGAACAAACATACAAAAAAAACCCACACTCAGTGATTTGCCAGAAGGAAGTAATATTTTGACTTGAACTTCATTCTCTTAAGCACAACAGTTACTGTTTTAATACTTCAAACTTTAGTATGAAGACCTGACTTTCCATACAGGTTTGGAAAAACTGGATAGATATGCTTACTCCAAGCTCTTTCTGTGTTCTTTACACCTTATAATTCGGATCTTTCTTACACTTTACTGTACAATTGGGCCTAGTGCAAATGGTTCAGCTGTTTTGGTATATAGTAATGGTAACATAGTGTAATTTGAATCTCTTCATTGTCTGGGAGTAATTTTATGTTATTGAAAACCCACATTCTTTATCTTTTGTATTCTAAAAAAAAAAAAAAAAAAAAAAAAAGTGCTGTGAACACAAATTCAAACTGCATTGTTTTGATTTGGCTAGGAGTAGTAATCCTGTCACAGTCTCTCAAATGTCCTGATTCATAAGTCACAGAGAAAATGTTTTCAGAGGCTAGTGTGTTTTCAGAGCCTAGTAGGTTCCTATGGTATTCGACATTATCTAGGAAAAGAGGTTTGAAAATAATCTTCACTTGTTCAGGTGGCTGAGGTTAGCTTAAATGTAAATTGCTTTTGCTATTAAAGATGCCAAGTCTCAGGCCACAGTTCCAAATTAGAAGTTTATCAGTAGGACTTCATGTGAATATTGTGACCCTTCATTGGGACCATGTGTACTACTGAACTTTTTAACCTTGCCATGGAAACTTGAAGTTCTCCAAGGTATTACCAGATCAGACTACAAAGTGAAGATTTTCAGTATATAACCACAGCTCGGTATTTACAGATGCTTAAACCATTGAGCAGATGGAAGGCAAATTAAAACAAAACCAAACTGAATCAAACCTTGCTTTATTCTGTAAGCAGCCATGAGGGCATGAATAATGTGACATATCACAACACATCAGATCCATTAACCGTTGTCTGTACCATTTGTAAGTGTTCTGTCCTCTTTTGCATACACTCAATCTCAGCTGAATAATAACTGCTTTCTAATTACACACAACATTCTGTGGCTCTATTCTGACTTCAGAGTACTAGGTTTGAAGAACATGATGAAGGCACTGCTGCCTGGTGTTCTTTGCAAATCCAAGATGTTGCTCAAGTGGTTTTTTTTTTTTTTTTTTCAAAAATGTAAGAAGTGATTTTGAACATGTGTAGTGACCCATTCTCTAAAGTTAAAATCTTGTATTGCTCTCTGAAAATTGCCATGTAAATCTTACTCTTTCATGCAAGTATTGGTATTCACCAATTTAAGATTATGCAGCATGTGCAGAAGTTTTTCTAGCAAATAATATTTGCATGGAAAAGATTACAATATCTGGAAAAGTAGGGCTGCATCATCAGTTATCAGTTTGCACCAAAGTTCTTCAAATACTTACTGTTACTCCTGGTTTTGGACTGACAAGCATTTACAATTACTAACATGCTATTAGAAAATTAAGAGAAAGACTATTTTAGAGTGAAGTGGCTTTTTTCCATAAAGGTATTAATTGGGAAATGGGATTGAAAAATGCTTACAGAAAACTTCAGAGGAAAAACAAAAACCAACAAAAACACAAAGGAAAAAGAAGCCAACAACAACATGGAAAAATAGTTCAAATTCTAGTTCTTGTTTTTTACCCACAACTGCTTTTCTTCTTTTTTTTTTTTTTTTTTACCTCTCTCCCCAGTTTGGAGGTGCGATTTATCTGTCAGTGTTCTCTTGGAAGAAATCATCAGAATTCTTCAGAGATGGGAGTAGGTCTGAAGACTGAGAAGCATGTAACAAACACAGAGGACAGGAAGTTCTAAAAGCAGAGTAGTTCATAGGTCCAATCCTTCAATCCAAAAGTGACTGAGGAAGGTAGAGAAAATCAGAGAATCTTGATATAAACTTTTCTGGGGAAGATGATTTACTTGCATAAGAGGTAGGACATATTTACTAAAGGGTGAGATGAAACAAAGCACTAATAAAGTTCCTCATCGTTAATGTGTGTCTCGTGTATTTCCAGAAATACAGGGTCCAGGTTTGGGGTTTTTTTAATACAGATGCTAAGTGCAAAAATCATTACACTGTTCTGGTGAAATATGTATTCAACTGTCAGTCTTACACCAGGCAGCAATATGCCTTAAAAATTGCCTGTTAGATTAGGCTTGGGAAGTATACATGCAAAGTGCATTTTTAAGCTTTAAGAAATAACTAGAAAACTAGTAATCTCATCCT